TATACAGACGGACAGACAGACACAAATACAAACTGAACGATCGGAATCAAGTGCATGTGTGGGAAATTTTTTTATTTGAAGAGATATCTTCACAAAATTTGACATGAATCCAAGGCAATGCTACAATTTTTGAAAAAAAATTTCAGATCACATAATTCCTTGGGTGCAACAAAGTTAACGATTTTTCTTTTCCTTTTTTTTTACTCTCGCAACCTGTTGCTACAGAGTAGAATAGTTTTGTTCATCTAACGGTTGTTTGTATCACCTAAAACTAATCGAGTTAGGTATAGGGTTATGTATATATAAATGATCAGGATGAAGAGACGAGTTAAAATCCGGATGACTGTCTGTCCGTCAGTCCGTCCGTCCGTGCAAGCTGTAACTTGAGTAAAAATTGAGATATCTCTATGAAACTTGGTACAAATATTTGTTGGTATACTTGGTACCGTAAGACGGTTGGTATATCAGATGGGCGTAAACGGAAGACTGCCACGCGCACAAAACGCCAGTAATCAAAAACAAATAAATTGTCATAACTAAGCTCAACAATAAGATAAAAGACTGTTATTTGTTTTTTTAAGTGGACGTGGTCCCGCCCTCTAATAGATTTAATGTGCATATTATATATCCTAAGCCACTAAAGCTACAATAACAAAATTTACTAAGGGCAATGGTTTTTGGCAGCTCTATCGACACTGTGAAAATGGGTGAAATCGGGTGACAGCAACGTCAAGCAACAATGATTGTATTAAACCTTTGCGTGAATAATGCGTATAAGGTGTGACCAACAATTGTCTAAATCAAACCAAAACTGTTCAAGCCCCTAGGTACTGAATATGTAAACCACTGATTTTCGAACTTTCAGGTGACTTTATACCGCAGATTTCAGCAAATAAGTAAGATACCTTAGCAAAAGTATAATATTGGATATATTATAGTTTAATTCCGCAAAAATGTGAAGTTAGTTCACAAATTACCCAAACTCATATATCATATACATCATTTACCACATATATGGATTTTCTTTGTTCTAACAAACCGTATGCATCTGAAGGAATTTCCCTTGCTTTGATCCTTGCAAGTTGCGAGAGTCTAAAATGTTCGGTTACACCCGAACTTAGAACTTCCTTACTTGTTTTCCCATCCCTTAGTAGTATCCTCTTCTGCATAATGGTAGTATTTATTCCAAAAACTAGTGTGTTAAAATGTATATAGTGTAATTAAGTCATTTTTAAAAACTGAGGAACCCTTAGCTTTTGGAAGTAAAATGATGTTATCAACGAATTGTGGCAAAGCCGGGAGAATAACCCAATCGTCATTGTCACCCTTTAGAAAAAAACGTGCTGCGGTGAACTTTGGTCCAATCATTAATTGTTGTCTTTCGGCATTCACAGTCAGTCTACTTGTAAATTGTTGACTTTCATGTGCTTTCAAAAGCGCCTAATAATTTATACATATTTATATGCATATACATGAGCTACATACATATATTCATAGGGTTTTGGTCATTAATAGAGAAATAAAAATTACAGTGCATAATGGCATTCCTTCTCGATTGGAATAAGTGATAACTTACAAATATTTTTATGCATTTCAAAGTTAGAGTTTTCTTCATTGATGCGATTTTTGTATGCACACATACTCTAAATGGTTTGTTTGTATGCATGTATGTATGTATGTTTTTAAATTTATGTTTATTTGTACAAATATGAAGTTATTATGCCTTTAATTGATTGATGGGTTCGTGCACTCGTTGAAAGGGAAATAAATGAATTTATTTCCGCTCATTCTATTAATTTGAAGATGTAGGGTTGTATGTATGTATTTATATTGCATTCAAATGCACAATAAAAGTGATGAAAAGATCAGAGGTATGTTTAAACATTTACGAATTTATACATAAATATATGTATATATGTAGGTATGTATATTACTTTATTTTTAGAAGCCATGCATTTATTTTGTTTGGTTTCTATTTCTGGATCATTAACTTGATGTATTAATCCAATTAACTTCTTTCGAATAAGTGCATTAATTAAAATGAGAGTGCACTCTTTCGTACATACACACTTATTCAGTATAAATTCTGTTACGAGTTCAAGCCGTTAAAAATAATACATATACATACAATAAAATTAACTTAATTAAAATTTGAATTATAGTTCCATTTTTTAAATGAGCTATGTATAAAATTTTATTTGAAATGGTCATATTTTCCTTTCACACAAACCCTCAAACGATTTGGACATTGATTAAGAGAAGCACGTTCAGTTTCCATTGGTATTGACGACGCTCCTCGAACCAAAAATTTTTGGCACTCTCCAATACAATGGATTCAAATCTGAACTTACAGACGGCAAATTAGCCGCAACTATGAAACGAAAAATATTACTTTTAAGCAACTGCTGGATTGTTTTTGCCTTGTATGCATCCATCGAAAAGAGTTTACCACACCTTCAAATCCTGCTGGTATACTTTTGAAGTTTTCACAGAAGTGAAGAGGTGTAATGACTTTTCAGGAGACTCCCCACCAAACCATTACATCAGCTGGATGGTGACCACGTTGATACCTTGGAACACCATATTTTTGTCGTGTGTTTATTAAAAACTTTTTCGAGTGAAAATTATTTCATCTGTAAAAAGCATATTTTCATGGCCGTTGACCTCGTGCCACTGAAGAACTCGGTTAGGCCTAATTTGTCTTAAGCGCGCTGTCAAAATATGACCAGTTGAGCGCCGGTTGGTTTTCATGTCGATATCAACTCGAGTAATTCTTGACATTGATCTGGTCGATATATCCATTACCCTTGACATCATTTTCATTTTCTGCTTTCTATGGGGATTTCTGCGAACACGTGATTTCGTGAACAGTTGTTACGGCTTTCTGCCATCAACTGTAGACGTTAGTTTGCGAACTTTTTATTTAAAAATTAACATTTTTATTTCAAATTCAGAATTAAAAATTAATATTTTTTGATTAAATTATTGTAGTAACAAATAAAAACATTATTTTTCATATCAAAAGCTGTAATAAAAAGGAATAAAAGGGAAAGTCTCACCATTTCTAACTGAAAACTGTTAGTCAGTGTAATTATATGTAATATAACTTTTCAGATACAGGGTTCTGTATATATAATTGATAAGGATGACAAGACGAGTTGAAATCAGAATGACTGTGTGACCGTCCTTCTGTCCGTGCATGCTGTAAATTAAGTAAAAATTTAGGTGAAACCCCATATCACGGAGCCTGCTCGACGGATTTCATTATTATGACATTCACATATCGCTGTGTAAAATCGCACTCAACCACGCCCTCTTCCCATATAACACAATTTTAAATTCTATATGATTCTTTCACTTTTTAGTACACAAATCAAGCAGGAGGAGAAAACTTTGTACAAAAAGTGCCTTTGCGGTATGCATCTCGCGTCTAAAAATCGTCAAAATCGGGACATAACTGTTTAAGCCTCAACATACCGAATATGTGGGCCTCAGTGCGTATGCCTCACTTTTTGCTGAAAATATCGGTCAATATGTGAGATCTATTATATTATCTATCTATTCAGGAAAAATGTTTCCTCCATATACTCTTATGTAGGAAATGGGTAGAATTAGGTCAATACTTCTCTTAATGTGGTAGTTATTTTAATCAAATTGAGAGAGCTTAATTTTCTAATGACGGTGTATCTTTGTATTAAAAATGGATAAAATCGCGTGAAAGGCCTAGGCCCCATATAATTTTCAGGATTTTGAAATGTCCGGTTGACTGTACTCCCTATATATGTTTATATACCTGACTTTTAACCGTTTAGGTTGCTCCGATCCTTTGGTTGACATTTTTCACATCAACTCAATATATTAAATTTAGCTTCTTCGGTTGAGTTTATATCACATAGGTATGTAGTATACTCATTTGAAAAATATTGTAATATAATTTTCGCTGACGGAAAGTAATATATACGTGAGTCTATGACCTTCAAAATAAGCTAACATGATACCAAATTTTATTGTAATCCGTTCACGATTTCGTTGAACAATAAAATTGAACCCTTTCATTACATTTTTTAATTTTGCGCCTGAAGGTATTTCCCCGGCTTTGATTCTTGAAAGTTGCAAGAGGATAAAATGTTCGGTTACACCCGAACTTAGCTCTTCCTTACCTGTTAATTTTTAAACCGATTTTTGGGATTCAAAATGTTATTTTTTATTGTTCAATACGGTATTTCGTATACGAAATTTTTAAATTATTTTTAATAAAGATTTTCGTGATTATACAAAAAAAAATGTATATGTTAATGGAACTGTCATTTTAGTGCACTATTTTCAAAACTTATAATAAATATAAACAAATTTGAAAACTCTGAAAACTGATGTAAAGCGTTCTTAAGACAGGTATACAAATACCCACAACTTCGTTAATTTTGCGCCAATTGACTGTAAAATTAAACACAACATTCTTGAAATATTATGCATTCAGACAAAAAATAATTCGAAAAAAATCATTAAGTAAGGAAGGGTTAAGTTCGGATGTAACCGAACATTTTATACTCTCGCAAAGAAAAACGATATACTCTTTTAATATTTCTTTATATATTTTGCTTGATTTGCATAGTGGAAAATGTAAACATCAGATGGAATTTTAAATAGTGTTATATGGGAAATAAGCGTGGTTGTAATCCGATTTCGCCCATTTTCGCACTATAACATAGAAATATGAGAAAAATTCGCGCTTTTAATAATTTTTAACAGTACCGTTATATGGGGAGGGGCGGAGTTTTCACCCGATTTCACCCACTCCCACACTCGATAGAAGGCATTTGTTCCCAGTGAATTTCGTTATTATAGCTTTAGCGGTTTAGGGATATGCACATTAAACCTATTAGGGGGCGGGACCACGACCAATAACAAAATATAACCCTATATCTAACTCGATAATTGCGCTAAGTCTAAGCGGTCTTACCTGTATACCTGAAACTCTAACAGTTTAATGAAAAGCCATATTTAGGATTCGGAATAGATATTTGTAATATGTATATATTTATGTCATTGCAATAATACAATTCGCATTGAAAACATGACAGCGATTATTTAATGTTTATTATAATACATAAAGGTCTTAATATATATGTAATATTTTGCATGTCCTTGGCGGCATAACAAACAAACCTTTTGGATTCCACTTACACATATTTATTTAATTTGACATTGATTAAGTTTGCGGATAAATATACATACATACGTACATACATACGTGCGTACATATATGTGTATAGGCATAATAAAAGCTACATACTTGTACAACTAAGGTTTTCCCACAAGACAATTGCCTGCTGATTTATGTACATTTGCTTTGTTTTGCTTTTGTTTTGATTGTTTTCTGTTGCAAGTTCAAACCGCCGATGGCCTCAATGACCGATTGCCTTTCAAGATAAATGTAATTGTCACTTTTATTCAGCAATTACGGCAGCGACGGCAATGTCAGTTGGGGTTTTGTCATCATTCCATTTGTACTAACTAAATAAACACACACACACACATTGCTTGTGCCTGTGTGTGCACTTTTTACACATTTTCTACTAATTCACTTAATTTGTAGGTTTTGCACGAAAAGTAATAAAATCGTTTGTGATTTCATTAACATATTACAAACATACATATTTTTTCTTGTAACTATTTCTTAATTTCTAAACGATAAGGTTAAATAACTTAATTATTGTGTCAACCCTAGTGCCCCAGAATAATACAAGTACGAGTAGTAATTACAAAAAAAAACATTCTGAATATAAATAACATTAATTTCATTATATTTTTATGTCATGACATATTTTAATATACATACTTTGTGATTATTAAATAAAATAAATTTTATATAGTTATTAATAATATATTTGCAGTAAATAATTTGGAAGCTCAAATCATATTGAATAGCAACATGTGAACTACATAGGTATAATGTGATCATTTTTATAACATAAGAGGTTAATGTTATATAAATAAGATTTTTAAAAATAATTTTTAAAAGCTCGCATACCGTAAACACCTTTTCATTTACCATTTTTGGCAATTCACTTGTACGAGTACTTAAATAAGAGTTCGCTGTTACGATTTTTCGTGCTCTTCAATAAAGATATAACATGCGAAGTCATCATCGTCCAAGAAATATAGAAATATGTGTGGGTTTGGGTTTGGTTAAAAGTATTAGTCAACAAACTGCACCTCAAGACTTGTAAGTCAACATTTATCATTGTTGAAACGACAGATATGGTGGAAACAGTGAAAGGTTCGGATCTTCCTAATTATATAAGAACTGCGTCTACGCTGTTTAGATAATACTTTACATATATATTTATAATGCTAGTTAATGATCGAAAAAGCTTTCAAAGGCTTTCGAAAGCTTTCGTCATCCAGTTTTGTTCAGAGCTTTATTTAAAACTAGAGCCCAGAAAGAGTGATTCGAACCAATTCAGCCATAAAAACTGTTCGTGATGTCTACGCCAATATCCCCTTAGAAAATAGAAAATGATGTCAAGGGAAATGGATATATCAACCAGATCAATGCCAAGGTTTGTACAAGATGATCTCCACTTGAAAGCCTACCCTCGATCAACTGATCATCTTCTGATAAATTAGGCTCAACAAATGAACAGTAGCGGCTTCGTCAGTGGAACGTGATCGACGACCATGAAAGTATACTATTTACAGAAGAAACCCGGTTTCATTGTGGAAAAAATTTTTAATAAGCAAAATGACAAAATTCACGCAAACGCTAAGGGTTCAACGTGGTCACCATCCAGCTGCTGCAATGGTTTGGTGGGGATTCTCCTGTAAAAGCGTTATACCCCTTCATTTTTTTATTTAATATATGCAATATTAAATAAATATAAATTTGTTTAAATTTGATTTGTAACAGAACTTATGGCTGGACTAAGTATACTTTTAAAAACATTTCTCTAATCATGAGTGTTGCTTGTAATTGGGTAGGAAATGTTTCTTCAAAAATCACAAACTTTTCTGCAATCAACATGGTTGCCAACAATCAAGCTTCCCTGATCAAAGTTTTAAAAGAGCTTTATTTAGTCGCTAGTCGTTGTTGGGGTCAATTGACTTATCAAGGATAGAAATTGAATATAGGAAACGTCCTTCGTTTGAAAAATTTGAAATTTAATTTCGAAATTATAGCACAAATGTTCGCGTATTCCCAAAGTACTTTAATAAAATCTTCTTATATTGAAGCGTGGCATTATAAATTTTTCATTTTTTCATTTTTCATTTACAAATCGAGCAGTTTTTTCACAGAATAACGGTTTAGAACCTTATTATTTCACACAGATTTTTTTTTCAAATATTGTTTTAAAAGTAGGTTAATATCGTAGATAGATAGGTAACGACGACGAACTGACGACGTACCTAGGCCTTTCGGAGGGCCATTGTGAAACCACCGAGACTAAAATACTCTCACTCTATTAGGTCCTCTCTGAACCACCCTATGCTCCTGATGAAATTCATTAATACAAAAAGTTTTATTAACTATTTTTAATATTCTAAAAATTCACATTTTATTAAAAAGAATTCAAGAGGAAATTTTTGGAAAACGAGATTCAAGGTTTCCAAGATTCCGGCAAGTGAACATAGAGTTTCTCAAACATTTTCCACATTTTTTACACTTTGAAATCTTTTCTTGTGGGATAGATCTTCGAGAAAATAATATTACTATTTATGTGTTACACTTAGGTCGGTCTAACCTAAAGGGTTCGGATTTATGGCGGAATAATATTAGTATTATTTTAGCATACTTCGATAAATAGAAGTTAGAACCTTTGTCGTTAGCACTTCATTACAATGTAGCATGTGGCTTTGATATTTTTTTTTTCATAGAATACAAGTAAGTTACTTGATAATAATAATAATCGATCTGTAGGCATTCGAACCAAAATATTAACTAGAAGGTGCTAAAAAATATATAATTAAGTATTTCTTTAAATGTTTATGCTTTATAAATTTTCTCACTAAACTTAACTAGCGCTTACATATAAAACGTTTACAACGGTGACTACTTTTTTCTTTAACGTGTATTTGCCTTAGCTTAATAATGACGGATATACAGCAGAGACGCTCACGTCGCCAAAACATACCGATATGCACCCCAATCGATCTTTTACTTAGTAATTATATCTATGGTAAGTATATTTATCTGTCTGTAAACTTTCATATGTCACGAATTCTTAAACAAAACCTACTTTCTTCACATTCCTTTTTTCGTGTCGCATACTTGTATATAAAATGGATTTTTGTCTATATCACAGATAAATATGCATATGCAACACACAAATTCAATCTAACATATACACATGTAAATATTAAATATTTTTTTATTTATTAATTTATTTATTACACAAAATGTCTGATTGGTAGGCGCGTAGAAAGATACAAAGGTCGGCTTATTGATTTTGGCTACTTTCAAACAGTTTGAATATGTATTCGTCCCACTATCTTATTTCGTTTACATAATATTTAGTAATAAAAAGTTGGATTGTTAAAAATTTACTTAAGCACTAAGTTGACGAATTGACGTCGTTACCGTGCACCTAAGGACCACCCCACGAGGCTTATACCACTAATATATGTATTTATTTATATACATACATACATTATGTATGTAAATTTATGGCTACTTCGCTTCTCACTTCTCACCTACTCTCAACGGTGCTTCAGCGATGGCGGCGCGAAGGCTTGCATGCTGTAGTACCGATCCGTATCGTCCTTGGTAACGCTCGTGACATGCTGGAATTGACATGGCTGCGAGATTTGCGATTTGGGCGGCAACGGTGCTGGCTTGACACGCTTCTGCTTTAACTTCTTCTTCTTACCCGGCAGTGAGAGAGCTATGTTTTCCGGATCACTTACCAGCTTTTCAATGTGATGATAGAGTTCGCAAGCCGAATCGGTTGAATCAAAACTGAAGCCAATCAGCTGTTGATGGTTCGTTGAGAGACACATCGTATGGAAGGACGGGCCGGCGAAACGATAATTTGACAAATTATCAATGCGATCTGACCAGAGTGCAAAACATGAGCCACGTTCGGCCAGTACCAGCGTGACACGTGATGTGGAGCGAGAGCGCGCGCTCCCACGATCATGTAAAACGACTGGTATACCGGTGAAGACTAGACGCCAATCACTCTCTTTGCCAGTGCCCTCATACAAATTGGCCAGTGATGAGCAGACGAAAATATCGGTACCCAAACCACCGAAAAAGCTCTCCACTTGACCGCGCTCATAATCGGAGAGATTTGAATTGCTCGTTGTATCGATGCTTAGCGTGTCGGCGTCCACATCGGAGCCAACGAAATATGTGTTGTTGTGATTATTTGCTGTATTGGTATTGTTCGTCGATGCAGTGGTGTGTGTGTTTGTGTGCGTATGTACCGAAGAGGTGTGTGAGTGTGCCGACCAATCGGGATTGATCATCAGCTCGTTCTGTTCGGATGAATTCGTACCCTCGGAGGATTCGGATGGTGGCGCAGAATCGCCGACAGAGCCTAAACGACGACGTTGCATGTGCGGAAGCTAGAAAGAAAATAACAATACGAAAACGGAAACTTTTAGTAACGGTTAATATGCTTTGAATATTCAATGAATAAAACGTGTGAAATATGCGATGATGAAAGAAAACGTTTGTTATATTATTAGAGACTAAGCCGTAAGCTTAGTCGAAAACTGATAGATGTCATTGATGAATAATAAATTTGTCCATTTGTTAGGCCTTCAGAGCGTTTTTAATTTATAGCTGTGTATTAGAAAATATCCGGTATTGCAGAACTATTCAAATCATTACAATCCCGACTTTGCTGGTATCATTTAAAAACTTCCGACGATAATATTATATAAGCACATTATTATATTCACTATTTTTTTTATGCCCTGATTAGGGTATATTAAGTTTGCCACGATCATTTATATAAACGATCAGCGTGACGAGCTAAGCTCATTTTGTTTTGTCCGTCAGTCTTTCGTCTGACCATCTGTCAGTCTGTATAAACGCGAACAAGGTCCTCAGTTTTTGAGACATCGTGCTGAAATTTTTCTCTCAGCTTTTTTCGGCAATAAGTTGCTCATTTGTCGGGACCGCCAATATCGGACTACTATAGCATATAGCTGTCCAAGTCCTTGTAAGAACAACTTTTTTAATTGACCAGATATCGTTACTAAGTGCGCCATGGATTACTATTTCTGGCATTACTACAATCTCCGAAGGAATTGTTCAGATCAGTTCACTATAGTATATAGTTGTGATACAAACTGTGAAGGTTATTCTAGTTGAAGTAGAGAGAAAAACATTACTCGATATTGTACAATTTTATTATAACACTTTCACTTTGAGAATAACCACCTATTTATAAAAGCCCAAAAGAGAAGTGTCAAAGCTACACACAGAGCTAAACGGCAGCCACTTAAATACAATTATTTGCAGTTTAAAGCAATAAAGCACCGACTCGAGAACTCAAAACCACTTTTTCATTGCCTGGAATTTGTAAACGCGTTCAGCTGAAAATTATGTTATGCAATCGATTTCCGCTCTAAAAACTTCAACAGCAATGTGGCACGTTCGCACTCATGTGTAAGTCCATGCAACACGTTCATAAATATTTCATAGAGTTGTAATAACTATTGAAATCGACATAAATGGGCCTAAGCTTTGCTATTTCTTTGCAAAAATAAATGTTTCATTAAATAAATAAAAGCAAGCTTACATATACATATGTAGGAACATACACACACGAATAAACCACATATGTAAAAGGTAAAGTATGTGTAAACTTCAAAATGAATCTAGCTCAAAATAAACGATATTTCGTAAACTGTGCCAGAGCAGATTCCTCAAACAAATATTTATTTCAATTTCGAAGTCATACCAAAGCTCTTGTGTGCAAATGTATTTTGATTTTTATTCGGGTGAACATCGAATTTTCAAATATTGATAAAAATATCAATAGAGTAAAGCCAACCTGTATGTGAATCTGTGTAAGCTTTCATGACAGTATTTGTATTGGCTTTATTTTTTTGTTTTTCTTTAACCATTTTCTATTAAGAACGAAAGGAAATTTCGTTTGGCCATATTTGTTGCCATTTTGTTTAGTTTTGAATGTCACCCGCATGAATGAACCGCAAAAGTACTGCACAATTACTTTGCCTCCAGAAAGCAACATGAATTTCCCTCAGTATGGCAAAAAGGAAATGTTCTTATCCAAAAAAAAAAGTGTTCAATCGGCTTAAGCTAAATTAAATTGTTTTGAGAAAACGAAAATCTTGCCGAAATAAATGCATAATTCTATAAATACGTATTATATGTTGCCTTTTATATTTCGGGATTTGATAACCCTGGTGTTGCAATCTGGCAACTCACAACTTTATTGAAAAGTTTGATATTATTTTGATTTTTGATATTATTGATTGATATTACACACACTTAGAAAGTTTTCACATACGAGCTCAATTTGTGTTGTATACAGTAGCTTAAAATATTCATCTCGGCCAAAAATGGAATTAAATCGCGAACATTTTCGCGCGATAAAATTTTACAACTATCGACGTGGAATAACTCAGCAACTGTGCATCGATGAGCTTAAGTAAATTTTTGGCGATTAAGCTTCATCAAGCACCAGTGTTTATCGATGGTATTGTGAATTCAATCGAGGTCGTAAGTCACACCAAGACGAATTTCATAAATTCGTCCAAAATTAGTTATTGTTTCGGAAACTATTAATGCTGTGCAAGATTGTCATGTGACCTATGGTGGAATTGAGACAACTATAGGACTTAGTGGGACCAGCACACATTCAATATTCCATGAACATTTGACTGTAATTAAAATTTGTTCACGTTGAATCCTCCATAATTTCTCAATCACTCAAAAAAAAAGCTCGTGTCGTTTGATCGAGAGAAATTTTAAAATAAATATGATAGCGGTGCTTCGTAACACCTCTATGGCATCGTGACAGGTGATGAATTGTGGATTTCGATTGTATACGTATTTCCAGATGAGACAAATCCAACAAATGTTGTTTGCGCCTCAAGCACTTCCAAGCATATGGGTCTCCATCTTTTTGGAAAAACTGGACAAGTCGCAAACATAATAATAGAACAACGCAGAACAGTTGTCTTTCAAGAAATAAGAAAAAGCAACCGCCGAAGATGGATAATTCTTCACCACGACAATGCGAGCTCTCACACATCGACTGAATCAATTGCATGTTTGAGCACACAAAACATCGATTTGATGAGTCAAGTAGGGTTGGTTCGGGCATGTTTTGAGATGAGTTGCCGACACAATCATCGGGAAAGCTATCGAATAGAATCCACAAGGCAGCGGACGAAAAGTTCGACCCGCTCTGACCTAGAGGAGAAATTTGAACATCGAAATATCTAAAGCCCAAAAGAGTTGGAGTCAAATCCAGAGCCTGGCGCATAATTGAAATAAATGGAACAGTCTCATTACGACGTTTTACTGCCCCGCGGAGCCCATGGGTACAATATATATGGTATACGAATATATTTAAATAGAGTCAAATATGTCAGACCGCCTGGAAGATACTGCAGTATTCCGGAAGCTTGAAGGGTCGCCTGAGATCCAGCTCTATCACCTACTCCTTTACACATATTTAATTCGTATGTATAAATGTTGTAAGTTCCGCTGGCGAGTATCAAGTTTAGTCTATTCTTTTTCAATTTATTTAGTCTATTCTGTTTCAATTTAGCTTCAGACATGAACTACGTAATTATCGGCATATTTTGGTAATAAATTTGTGAAATGCTTGTTTTCGGTTTCTTTATTTACACACTAATTTTTTTCTACCATTGGCCCACATTTATTTCTGAACAAGCTCTGAATCTACTATATGTATATATAAAAGTTCAAAATTACCCAGCAGTGAATTTGAACGGATTTTCTTGATCCTAATGAACAGATGAGCAGTGTGACTCAATTTGAATAAAACCAGTCTTTGGCTTTCCGAACCTTAGGAATACCCATTTTTTGTGCAATTATTGATTTTGTGAATAAATAAGATCTAGCTTATACTGAAGTTTTTTTTAAATATAGCTTTCATAACGTCTATATAACTTGGAATTGAAATTTGAGGAGAGCCTGAAGTAACATAAATTTTAGTTATAATTATTTTATTATAATTCCGCCTCAAAAATAACAATTTCATCCTCCTCATCTATACTATATCACTTATACTAAATTGATTCTATATAAACAAAAAACATTATATAGATTTTTCTAAATTGGTTGCGATTTGTGTAGAAGAGCAATTGGCGATAATTCTTAGCAGCTTAGGGAATGGCCTTCTTGTTAAAACTACAATTGATTTTATATCTACTATAAAGACGGCTAGAAAAGTAGTATCGAAAATAATTGGGTCGGTTCGTAGACATTTTCAATTCGCTGCCGTGACTGTCTTCTCCGAAGTGGAACGAAATACAGCTAGAATGTCTAGACTGTCTTTTGCGATTACTAGCTGCCCAGTTAGCCTCGATTTAGTAGCATTTCGTTCGCAAAGGCTGGCTGGGATATACTTATATTGTAGCATTATCATATACTCCCACCACCTCATTACAGCAACATACATACACATCGTTTATGCATTCGTTACACTTCGAGCCATTAATTTTGTGTTTATTTAACGTTTCGTCCTTTTTCCGCCCAAAATTATTCCTTTTGTTTTATAGGTTTTTGCGAGTCTTTTTATTGCATCGCCCAGAGCACTTCGTGTAATAAATGTGTGTCGCTTAATTCATCTTCTGAAATATTGGTGTTCGCGTATGCCACAAGCGTGTCGTCTGTGAACACATTAAATTTGGACCTGAAATTTAATTTTTGCACTGGACTTGTATATATATAAAAGGATATACAGGAAAACGTCGAGACCCCTAAAAATGTCCCCATGCCCCCATGCCATGTCCGTTAATCTGTTTTGTATGGAAAAATTTTTCTTTGACAAATATTTTACGAAATTCCGCATGGATTATTGCATAAGGCAACAGTTTAAAGCTGTCTTACAAACTGATCAATTAAAATTAATTAATTAATAGATATATATATATGTCTTTATACCCTTTTATGCTATAAGAAATGCACCAGTGAAGAGTACTCTACCTTCGGTTCAGCCGAAGTTAACGCTTGTTCTTGATAATTTGTTTTCTGTGACCCGATATTTCAATAGTTAATCTGCTATTAGGAGATCTACGGAGTTCAAAAAATCTGAGATCGCTCCAGTCGACGGTCGGGAGGCATAGTAACCGAAAAAATACTAAATATGTTTTATAAAAATGAATGGGGCTAAGAAATGCGCTTTTTCCACCTATTTAAACTGCCAAATATTAAATATTAAGCAAAATGAAAACTCTTTCTGCAGAAATTTATTTCGAAAACTATCATAATTTTAATACCACATCGTCTATTTTCAAACTGTATCGTAATTATGTAAAGACCAATTCAGAAGTTTGTGACATATAAAATTTCTTTAAAGCGTGGAATGTGCAAAACAGTTGTCCACTTTTTGAAG